GCAATGTCTTACAGTTCATCTCAAAATTCTTATTTTTAAAGATTTCTTTGTAAAGTGGTAATACCAATAGAATAGAAAATAGTGAACAAGAAAAACAATGAATGCATTAAAGCAAAATATAAGTGATATGCTCTCAAATATTCAGGAACAGCATTCTTTGCTTTACCACAGAGTCCACATATTTTAAGTAAATTATTAAAGATCTATAATATAAAAATTATTTTTAAAATGTTAGTTTACCATCACTAAATTAGAAAACCACAGCCACCTAATCCACTGGGCTTTCAAAATGCAGCTAACATAGCAAAACCACGTAATTATTTAATCTGGTATTACTTCTCCAGGACTTAATAGATATGACAATTACAAAATATTGTTAATTACTAAGATCTTCTAGGTATTGTCAATTAAAAGATCTTCTAGGTATTGTCAATTAAAATGTCAAATGCCCAAATGTCAACAAAGGTGATTTAAAAGGAAAAAGTAATCATGATCTGTCAGTATTTTCACACACACACACACACACACACACACTTCACACACACACACACATACATACACACACACACACACACACACGGTCCTTCCTATATGGCTAATGAGGCTGAAAAACATAATGGCAAAAAGTTTCCATCTCCAAACATGTTAAAGAGCAGAATCTCCAAAGTGTGTCACAATTTAAGGACTCTCAAGCTCTTAAAAGATTCAGAATGTTTAAATGATGTATTTCTTTTGTTCAAGATGGTTCAGACATGATTTTTATGATTTATGGAGGTATAGTTGACTAATGATGTAGTTCTTAAAAGAATATTATAAATGAATTATTTCAAATGCATAAAAACCAAAAGTGTTCTCTGGTTAAAGGAAATATAATTTCCTCTAAGGGAATGTTCCTAAATAAAGAAAAGCCTGTGTTCATGTGAATCCTAAAGGCCCCAAACTGGAGAGAATGCTCCATAACAGTATCAAGACACAGACATACTCAGCGTACAATTCCACAATAAAAACATCATCCTTGTAGAGGACACTTAAGTCAGATTAGAGCTTTAAAAAACAACAACTCAAAACTGAAAACTGCCAGACTATCAATTATTCTTCCTCAAATAACTAAAAAAATTGCTAAGACTAATTTGTAGGACCAAAACAATGGATTCTCTTATCCAACTACAATGGTGTCAATGGATAGCCATTTGGATTCAAATACAACACTATATTCTGCTATATAACACACCCGTATTTCTCATGGAACAAGCAACATTCAGTAACTACCCCGTCCCTTCTGCCTTTGATCCTTTAATACTGCACACACTGCCAACTCTCTCATGACTAGATTTTTACCGAGGGCGTCTTGTTTGCTGACCAGGTAATATAAAATTTCTTTATACCTAATTTCTTTATAAAGGTTGGGGGAATTAAATTACACTGAACTTAATTAGGCCTTCAGATAAATTTTGACATTAAATGTAGATGTAAGACAGTGCAGCTAAAGTAACATTTAGGAAAGTTTATTAGAGAACAGAGATCAAGATAAGCCCCATGATTGGTCCCTGCTGATCCCCATTGAGGTCAGCGAGGTGCAGGGTTACCTTTCCTCCGACAGTGTTATCTTTCCGTAATGACAGCTTTGAAAAAGGAGAAGGTTCCATGCAAATCAGCACCTCGCTTGCAAAAAACTTGCCAATCAGTCAGTAGGTTTCTATAAAAACCGCCGGATTTCCTTTTAAATTTACCTAAACCACCACACGCACGTGTTACTACTACTCTTTTGCTACTACTCAGGTTCCCAAAGTTTTTCAGCCAAAAACATATCCTCTTCCTTTCTACATTTTGCTAAAAAATATTCTATCTTTTCCTTGACAAGAAACACCATCACTTGGAGAAGCACATTCACAAAACTCTTAGCCATACCTGAAACAGATTCAGAATATGCCTACAACAGTAGGTACTCCACCTGTTTAGAAGGAATTCAATCTTCCTGCAGGCCCTTAACTTCTCCTACTTAATACCGATAGATACAGAAGCCAGACCAGCAGAGGGAGGGCCTTGACACATTGTTGACAGGCAGGTGTAAATACATGTGACCAGGACACCCCAGGAAGTGACTGAGCGCCCTATCATCTTCTGGCCTCACTGAACAGGCACCTGGCACTGGTTTATCCTCCTCTTTGTTAACACAGTCAACACCAAAGAGGAAGAGAGTTCTTGGGATCTCCTTTCCTGCATAGAAGCTTCTGTTTGAACATGGCAGCACGTTAGGAAAGGGGTTTTTCAATGTGCTCCAGACTCACACAGTAACCCTGGAGCTAGTGCTGCCCAGTGAGGGCCTCGCTACACAGAGCTACTGAGCACTTGAAATGTCGCTACTCTGAATTCAGACAGACTGTGAGTTAAAATACACAGCAGACTTTGTAGACTTAGTATGAAAAGAATGCAAAATTATCTCATTAGTAACTTTTAAAACTTGACATTAAAATAATATACATATAGGATTAAATAAAATGCTAGTAAAAAATCATTTCACTTGTTTCTTTTTTACTTTGCTATTTTGACTGGGAAACTTTAAATTGCTTATGTGGCTTTCCAAAGGCAGAACTACTGTAGACCTAGAGCCTAGATCAGTGGTCGGCAAACTCATTAGTCAACAGAGCCAAATATCAACAGTACTTCTTCAAAACAGACTCGCCCGGGCCGAAAACCGACTTCTGCGCATGGGCCACGAAGTTTCAATCGCACTGTACGCGTGCCCGCACGTGGTATTTTGTGGAAGAGCCACACTCAAGGGGCCAAAGAGCCGCATGTGGCTCGAGAGCCGCAGTTTGCCGACCACGGGCCTAGATTATAACAGCAAACAAGATCATTTGGCATTTCCCAATTACAAATGCCATTTAAAAACCAACAGAAAGAGCAGTATTTCCCCTGGCCTACCAATTACATTGAGAGAGCAATAGGAATAACTTAGGAAAACTGTAAGAATAATCAGCAGAATCACTTTGCACTGATACCATTTAAAAGAAAGATTACCTCAAAAAGGCAAAAATAGCACAGGATGTAAAAACCACACCTCTTAAGTAAGATGTAAATACACAAACCAAGTTTTCCTAATAAAGTAGGTTTAAGCGCTGATTATAAGGTTCGTTTTTAAAGTGAGAAGGATATTTGCAGCACCTCGGGACTCAGAAATAAAACACACACGATTCTATCTCTTTATTATTCAAAGACCTTCAACCACAAACAAGCCATTAACACTATAAAAATGGAAATAATTATCATAACCTATTCTCTTTTTCAAAACCTCAAGAAAATAACTACAACAGTTTCCCTAGGATCGAGTAGGGTACCTTTGATCTACACATTATGACATTAAAAAAGCATATTTTAAAATAAGTATTTCTAACCCACAGTTTTTTAAAAGTATGTTTTAAAGATACATTTTTATTGATTTCAGAGAGGAAGGGAGAGGGAGAGAGAGATAGAAACATCAATGATGAGAGAGAATCATTGATCGGCTGCCTCCTGCATGCCCCACACTGGGGATTGAGCCCGAAACCTGGGCTTATGCCCTGACCGGGAATCGAACCGACCTCCTGGTTCATAGGTCGACACTTACCACTGAGCCACGCCAGCCGGGCTAAAAGTATTTTTTAAAGTGAGAAATTCAACAACACATTCCTATGCATGAACTATTTCTTCCTCTATTATAAAACATCATTCTGCTTTGAGTTAAAAATATTTAGGCCTCCAGGGCTCAGCGGGGGGAGGGGGGGGCGGGGGGCGATGGTGATGATGCTGGTGGTGGTGATGGTGGTGGTGGTGGTGGAAGGGATAGATAGGAATGTGTTTCTGAATCTATGAAAATATGTTTTAAGGGGAGAGAGGAACACAGCTCAGTAAAGGATGGTATTCCCTTATTCAGAGGATGCCAAAGTTACGTCTAGAAAATTGTCGCTGGGAATACAGTACCAAAAAAAAAAAAAAAATTCAAGAATTTAAGACCGATGGGTTCCCAGGGCTTCCACAACAGTTGATCAGGCACTTTCCATGGCGTCCTAACAAATTTATCGTCCAAAAAAGGTCATAGCTGACTATAAATCATTTATCCACTTGCTATTCATCAGCTGAATATAATCTCCAGGCTTCTATTTATGAGATGATACATTCCTGAGATACCTTTTCCGTGCGCATTGACATGCCAAGCCCGGTCACACTCCCCATGCAGTGAGCAGGAAGGATTGCACACATTTTAAAGCAGGGAGTGCTGGCGTGGCTGCAGTTTCTGCCCTGGTGGGCACAGTCCCTCCCCACTGGAGTCACTCGCGAAGAATCGCGTCCCCCGACACCGCCCAGGGGGCAGGCGACGCCAGCGGGTCCCGCAGGGCACCCTATTTTTAGCGTTTGGAGCTGGTCTTTACAGTGCATTCCACGGCGTGACTAACTTCACCCGGGGAACCAAATAAGCATCCTGCGGTCCTCATCATTTTCAGCTCAGAAAGGAATGTTAAGCCTTTAAGTCCTAATCTTTTTTCAATCTGAACTTTAAATCTCTGCAACACGCAAATTTAAAAAGAAAGGTACTATCGCGGGAGGCGGGGAGGGGGACCCCGGGTGGTTCTTGACAACCACAGTGATGGGGGGCGGGGGGCGGGGGGCAGGTATGAAGCTGGAGCCGAGCCCGGGTGGCGGGCAGGGGCCGCGCGGCAGCAGATGGGAAGGAGCAGGCGCGCAGAGCAGGCTCCGGGGACCCGGGGACCCGGGGAGGGACCGCTCCGCCGCTGGTCCCCTCGGGAGGGAGAAATTGGCGCGAGGCGCAGGGGCAGACCGCACCGACGCGAGGAAAACAGGGGAGCAGGGAGGGGGCGGAGGGGGGGACGGGGCTACACCTCACCCGGAGGGCAAGGGCGGCGCAGCCCGAGGAGCTCAGCGCAGGGAGGAGCGAGGGGTTCCAGGAGGCTTTGCACCCCGAGAGCCGCCGGCTGCCCGCATCCCGCTCTCCCTCTCCTCACCTGGGAATCAGAGGCGAAAGGGGGTCCACCGCTGGGCGCCCGGGCTGTTTCCAGCCCCTCTCGCTGACATGGCGGCCGACGAGCTGTCACCGGGCTCGCTCGGGTCTCCCGCCGCTCGGGTGGAGGAGACACCTCTGCCTTCCCGCCCCGCCTCCCTCGGCTCGCCCCTCCCGGCTGGGCCGCCCGCGACCGCGGAGCATAGAGCGCGAGCGGCTAGAGAGGACGCGCGGAGGGCCGGCGACCATAGAGTGCACAGCCTGGAAGGTCCGTCCTCCAGCGTCAGCCCCTGGCCGGAAGCGGAAGTGAGGGAAGAGCCCGGAGAGGTGGTGCGCGTGCGTGGTTTGTCGTGTCTGCTGCTGCCCGGCCGAGTCAGGCGGCGGGGTGAGCCTGCACGTGGGGCTCCCGCGGCGGAGGTGGCGGCTGTTGTAATGACGCTGGGTGACATTGGGACGGACGCTGGAGTTTAAGGATGTGGGCCCCAATGGCGGGGCTCTCTCCGCGGCTGACGCTGGCAGCCTTTCCCGGTGCTGCCCGCCTTTGCCTTTGGAGGGCCGGAGCGGCGAGGTGGAAGGGCGTCCCGGCGAGGAACCGCCGTGGTTTGTCCGACTTTCGGCCGAAGCTGGCGCCCCGTGAGGGTTTCAAAGTGCTGCCCCCCGGGGTGTCCAAGAGCCGCCTCGAGTCCAAGCGCTACATACTCAGTCCGGACCTGGCCGAGACCATGGTGCCGTTCCTGTTGCGAAACGACGGCTGCGACCTGATCCTGGAGATCAATCCAGGTGAGTCCGTCGGGGACGGTGTCCTCTCGGACGTGCATCACTTCTGCAAACTTACACCGCCCGCCCGCGGCTGCCGGGAGCACACGGCCCCTTCCTGTGCGGTCAGCGTCAACCTTGCTCCGGAATGGTTCTGGAGCAGTTGGCACGCCCCCAAATGGTTTGGTAGAACATGCTCGTCGATTCCACCGTCTCCCCAAGATACTTGCAATCCCCGTCCCCCCAGAACTTTCATTTTACCCTTCCGTGAGTCTAGAGACCATTAGCAGGATGCTGAGAACACTCTATTTATAGACTTCTTAAAAAGTAACTTCTTTTGCCCTAACCGGTTTGGCTCAGTGGATAGAGCGTCGACCTGCGGACTCAAGGGTCCCAGGTTCGATTCCGGCCAAGGGCATGCACCTTGGTTGCGGGCATATCCCCAGTTGGGAGTGTGCAGGAGGCAGCTGGTCGATGTTTCTAACTCTCTATCCCTCTCTTCCAAAATCAATTAAAAAAAAAAATATATATATATATTTTTAAAAAGCAACTTTTAAAGCTCCGTTTTCTATCATGAGGAATCAGTTCTATTTAGGAGAGTTCATGGTTAAATGGTAGGCTAGAGGCAACCTTTTTGTTTGCCCTCCTCCCGCCCCCCCCCTTTTTTTTCTTGAGAGTGAAACATGGTGATTAGAGCGCAGGTTTTGCAGTCTCGGACAGCATAGGTTCAAAGCCAAGCAGCACCACTTGCCTTGGTGAGGTGGGAGCCCAGTGACTGCATCCAACCCCCAGTTCCCTTATACGGAAGTAAGGAGTGTAACATCTACTTTGGGAGTGGCGTAAGGATTAGATTTAGGCAACACGTGTAAATCGACTACTTTCTTTGATATTGGAAGAAATTGAACTTCGTAAATAATCTTTTCCTTCTGTTAATATTCCAGGTCCTGGAATCCTGACCAGCGCACTGCTTCAAAGAGGTGCCAGAGTGATTGCCCTTGAAAGTGACAAAACTTTCATTCCACATTTGGAGGTAGTAGATTTTTAGTTGTTGAAGCCACTGCCCTTGCAGCAGTTGAGGGAAGAAAACTTAGGCGCACAGTTTATTATTGTAGACTGACTTCTAGGGCCAGGCCTTACATAGGCTGTCATCCCCGGTGGCTGCAACCTAGTATCAGTGATTGTGGAAGAGCTAAAAGGTTGGGGCTCTGAGACTTGTGTTCTGCTTCTCGCTCTGCTATAGACTAGTTTGGTGACTTT